TTTATAAAAATGCTATATTACTAAGATTGACTAAGATTTTGGCCTTAAAAGGAAACATGCCTAAAATGTTTTGGTTGCTACTTATTGACTACAGGCATCTGAGTATTCGCTATCTAATTGAAGTACTGCACTAGACAAACTTGGCTTAATATTGAAACAAACAAGAACAGTCTTAAGTCATAGTTATTATATGAATTGAAAACTTTTATACGTTCAGCTAGAATAGGTTCTCTATCAATATCTAGTTAATAATCGGTACTGTGCTAACTTGGTAAGGGTTTGGACAGATTTAATATTACGATTGATGTTGTAATTTGATAAAAAGATTGATCAGAATTTTCTACTGTCCCTTTTAAATCTTATCGTATGTTCCATAGTTAAACTATCCTTACTTTTATCGTTACATTGTATAACACAGTAATAAGCGTAGAATTGTTTTCATTTGTGCTATTTACGTTAAGCTGATACCGCCAGCTGATCGAATAGCTGTAAGAGGTAAAAAAATACTATAATTTAACAATCAAATTGTTGCTGTCCAAGCACGAAATTCAGTCAATGTGCGAAATGCCTAGTCAGTTTACGAAATGTCTAGTCGATTTGCAAAATGCCATACATCTTGTATTGTTAACTAATATAAATGCTTTAAGGCTAATATAAAATGTAACAGTCAATGTCATAATCAGAGAACTTGTAGAAATAAATAATAATTTTTATAATCAGAATGGTATCAATTCAATAATAACTCCTTAATTGATAATAGTATCTCTAAGTATTTTTGCAATTACTGAAGTAATTGCAAAACACATATGTATTGATTATTTGAATCAGTCTATTATCATTTATTATCATTATTATAATCATCAAACAAATATAGATTCTCTGGTTTTTTAGTGATATTGCTGCACCAATAAAGATAGTTTCTCTGATTTAAGTGTTTTGATATTTTTGCAGTTTGCGAGCTGAGTAGCCATTTCACAAATACACTGAACTTCGTACACAAACGGGTACATAATCACTTGTTACCACTCAAAATCTTGATTGCAACTGCACCGCTCGTTCTAGTTTTACTATTCGATTTAATAGAGATTATAACTTATAGTAAATACCTTATAATGAAGAAATGATTATTAATACCCAATTAGAGCATGAAATTTTATGCTTTTAAGCGTAGTACCTGTATGCCTGAGTAACAAGTTTACCGGTGTCTGTAATAGAAATAAGGGTAGAAGTGCGTGCCCGAAATTGTTCGCTAACTTATGTACTCGAATTAAACATGTTGCTATATTCGTACTATTACCCTAATCAATATCATTGGAAGACGGCGGTCTTGAATGTATGTTTAATTACCTAAACTTCAGCTAGATTATAATCTTATATTAGAAGGGCGTAGCTAAAGTATCATACTACAAATGAATGCGGAGACTAGATATTAAGCGTTGTACTCGATTGTGCCCGTAATAAATTTTACTGAATTAATAAGCATAAGATGTTTAATTAGATGTTGAATGGTCGGAAAAATACTGATTCAGTCTCCCAAATAGCATGATTGAAATGGCTAAGCTAAGAAGAGATTGCATTAGTATTCGCTGAAATGACATGATATCTAGTCTTACCTCCACCATTATCATAGCAAAGATAGGGAAATCTCCACAAGTTACCAAATCCAACAGCATAGCCTACACAAGATAGGATAAAATCAATTTTCCTATCCCAACTTTCACGATTATCATCATCGTCTTCGGAATGAGAAATTTGATTCTTTTCTGGATCTGCTATATCTTTCTCTTCGACCATTTTATTATCGTTAGCAGCTTAGAATATTGGCTACAAAAAATAAATTCGAGTTCTAGATAGAGATATCAAGTTTTAACCGAGTTAGAATCGACTAGATAATGGATAGAAATGAATCATTGTAAGCTAAAAATTGCTAATGTCAATTTACTCTGTGCCTCTTTAAATTGTCTCCGATCCTACACGATGTGATGGCCAGAATAAATGTCGGTAGATTTCTCTGTGAAACTTTATATACTCGTCGCCTAATGTTTAGAATAAAAGTAATTTATCAACACAATAGCTATCGCGTTTTTAATTACAGTCTCCATCTATTATTGCATGACTTTTTCGCCGTTGTTTAGAATTACTATTAGAGGATATAGCTTGTTACTATTAAATGAAAAAGTCTCGCTATTGTAAATAACATAATACGGTCATCAATGCATA